AAACCCCTAAAGAGAGGTACGGAATATCCTAAAATCACTAAAGAGAGGTACAGAATATCCCAAAATCCCTAAAGAGAGGTACAGAATATCCTAAAATCCCTAAAGAGAGGTACAGAATATCCCAAACCCCTAAAGAGAGGTACAGAATATCCCAAACCCCTGGAGAAAGGTACAGAGAATCCTAAAATCCCTAAAGAGAGGTACGGAATATCTCAAAATCCCTAAAGAGAGGTACAGAATATCCCAAACCCCTGGAGAAAGGTACAGACAGCTGGGAATGCAGCAGGGTGGGAGCTGATCCCGGGAGCAGTCCTGGATCCCAGCCCTGGATCCCAGTCCTAAATCCCATTCCTGGATTCCATGTCTCGATCCCAGCCCTGGATCCCAGCCCTAAATCCCATTCCTGGATCCCAGCCCTGGATCCCAGCCCTGGATCCTATTCCTGAATTCCAGGTCTCAATCCCAGCCCTGGATCCCAGTCCTAAATCCCATTCCTGGATCCCAGCCCTGGATCCCAGCCCTAAATCCTATTCCTGGATTCTAGGTCTCGATCCCAGCTCTGGATCCCAGTCCTAAATCCCATTCCTGGATTCCATGTCTCGATCCCAGCCCTGGATCCCAGCCCTAAATCCCATTCCTGGATTCCATGTCTCGATCCCAGCCCTGGATCCCATTCCTGAATTCCCAGCCCAGAACGGGACCCTGGGCACGGAGCTGAGCTGCTATCCCCGTGGGCTCCAGAGATGCTCCAGCCCCAAACCCCCACCCCAAATCACCCCCTGACCCCACCCTGCTGCTCCAGGGATGCTCCAACCCCAAAACCCATCCCAAATCATCCCCCTGACTCCACCGTGCCACTCCAACCCCATCCCTCAGCCCCCAGGACAGACCCCAACCCGGATCTGTCCCTGTCCCGGATCTGTCCCTGTCCCGGATCTGTCCTCATCCCTGATCTGTCCCCGTCCCGGATCTGTCCCCAGCACGGATCTGTCCCTATCCCGGATCTGTCCCCATCCCGGATCTGTCCCGGATCTGTCCCCATCCCTGATCTGTCCCCATCCCTGATCTGTCCCCATCCCGGATCTGTCCCGGCTCTGTCCCCATCCCGGATCTGTCCCGGATCTGTCCCTATCCCGGATCTGTCCCCATCCCTGATCTGTCCCTATCCTGGATCTGTCCCTGTCCCGGATCTGTCCCCATCCCGGATCTGTCCCGGATCTGTCCCCATCCCGGATCTGTCCCGGATCTGTCCCCATCCCGGCTCTGTCCCCATCCCGGATCTGTCCCCACCCGGCTCTGTCCCGGATCTGTCCC